AAATTAAAAAAAAAAATTTTTAATCTTGAAAAAAATCAAATTTTCAAAAAAAAATTTTGAAGGGAATTTATAATATTTTAAATATTTCAAAGAAAAAATGTACATTAGCTAAAATATGGATGTAAATAAAGGATTTAATGAAGTAAATTTATATTATTTTTTCTTTCAGAATTTTTACAATCTGAGATGTTTACAGTTACCATCTTTGATTGTAACAGTTATAATTTATAATAATTACAATTATTATTTTCGATAGTAATCGTTACCATTATTAATAGTAACTATTACAATTGTCAATGATACCACCTATTATTTTGTTACTAATTAATTTTATTACCATTTTAGATAGTAAGAGTTACTATTTTTGTATAGTAGGTAGTATAATTAATTTTTCTCCGTGTAATATTCTGATTTATATTTTTAACTATTCTTTAAAATATTCATATTTTAATGTTGGATCTATTTTGTATTAAATAAGGGCTAGTTCCCGCTATTATAAATTTACTTATAACTTTTTCTTTTATTCTACTTGTTAAAATTACAATTATTAGATAAATTAAATACTAAACCTCTTATGTGTACTTTAAATAAACGACCATTGTATATGTTTGCCATTCGGCCAATGCCTTGGAATCAAAGGAATTTAAATAAATAAATAAATAAAATGGTCGTGTATACACTAAAAAAAATTAACTTGATTCAAGAGAAAAATTTTTGAACCAAAAATATAATTTTGAAGAGAGTAATTAAATTGTCTTGAATCAAGACGAAAAAATTATAAATCAAGTAAAATTTCCTCAAATCAAGAATATTAAGTTCTTCAAAATTATATACTTGATTCAAGAACATTTTTTTTTCTGTATACACAATGATTTTTGCGAATTAAATGGACGTGAATATTGCGGACCTCTAGTGCGTGTGAAATAAATGTTTTAGGTTCATTTGCCGAAAAATAAATAAATAAATTCAAATAACACGACGTGAAATATAGTACCGGAAATTTTTTACACGGTCTATTTATTTTATTTTAAATTGTTCGTGAATATTTATCGCAAATTTACACAGTTACTGCAAATGTGGGCGGAAAATTTTTCTAGGAAGATTAAAGTATAAATTATTACTCAAAGTAATTCATTTAATATGAAAAATGGTGTTTTTGTTATTGGAGTTTTAGTAAAAATTGTTGTTTAATTAAAAATATATCCGGGTGTATAAAATTCTACGGATCGTATTTTTGTGGATTTTTTCCGTACGTTGTATTTTTAACGCTTAAATTCACGCGTACTCTTGCGGAAAAATTTACAATATGGAAAAACAAATAAGCTACCAGCCAGAAAAATTACCAAGTTTTTACGTTAATTATTTTTCAAGTAGATTTTTTTTAAAATATTAACAAAAAATTGTTACTTTTGCTGTAAATAAAAATAGATTTTTTTATAAATTAAAAATAAAGTTTGTTATTAATTATTTGTTTATAAAATTCACTGTCAACATGTATATTGAAGATAATAACAAAACTGACGGGTGGTTATTTACTCTTATTAAATCCATAACAAGATAAGAAAGTTGACATAACTATTGACACACTCCTTAGGTTGCTCATTGCATTGTTAGGAGATTATTAACTACTACGCTAAGCAAAATAGCTATTTTCTCAATTACATGCATTATAACTACAAAATAAGAGAACACAAAGCGTATAATCAACATCAACATCAGCTCTTAGCGTATAATCAAGATAATTAAGTAAAAAAGCTGTCGTGTAATTCTTAATAACTTGAAAAGTTATCGACTTATTAAAAAAAGTAAATAAACATAAAGGTAATACCTTTTTTCTAATTAAAAAACTCTGTAAAAAAATGCAAATTGCTTTACTCTAAGAACTTGTCGACTAGCTTCGTTTACATGTTTTATGTACACAGCACCAAGTTGCGTGTTTCATGGCTCAACGAGTTCGTTCCATCGTGAAAGTATTAAGTACAAAGTGCGAGGGAGACGTTAATATAAACAACCGGGAGAATTGAGAAAGAGAATGAGGATGATAGAGAAGGAAAAAAGATAAATGAAATTAAAAATAAGAGGGACCAAAAACCACGATAGCTACGGCCGTCTGTATATTCCAAGATTGATTCGTTAAGCTTTGACACTATTAAAGTTTATCCGTTAAAATTTACTTTATATACCTACACGTTCATTTATTTATCTAAATACATATATATCGTTATATACAGATATATTACCTGTAAAGGTGGAAAGGTAACTAGGTCGATGGTCTCTTGTTCTCTGTACCCAGTCAAATGTTTGTACATCGCCAAGATAAAATTTATTACGTCCCAACGCTCGTGAATCTGAGTCGCTACACTCTATACTAGTGTCGCTTTGTTTTTAATTTCACTAGGTATATTTTCAGATATTTATAGGGGCAATGCATTGTTGCTAATCACGTGTTATTTATATTTATTTGGTTGAGAAAATTTTAAAAGGAAAATTGAAAAGTAATTTAAAATTTTTTTAATTAGTAAAAAAAATTATTCTTAGATATATAAATTATTCTTAAGTAAATTATTTATAAGTGGGGTCAACCCCATTTTTGGCCATAACTAGATGAAAAATTAACATTTTCAAATTTTTCTTTTATTCTGTTTGTTTTTATGGCGTATTTATGATTTTTTTGAAAATTTATAAATTTTGTAATTTTATAAAAATTTATAAATTTTTTTTTGAAAATTCGTAGAATTTGTTAAAATTATGATAATCAACTTTTTTTTTCAATGTATTTTAAAAAAAAAAATATATCAATAAAATCAAATGGAAATTTCGTTCAAAAAAATGAAAATTAAAATTGTGGACCCCACTTGTAAATATTTACCTCTTCAGCAATTATTTACAAGTGAGATCAAACCTATTTTTGGCCATATCTAGCTAAATAATTAACATTTTTTATTTTTTTTATTCTGCTCGTTTTCACGGCGGATTTATAATAAAAAATGTTGTGAAAGAAAAAAATAAAGATTTCGATAGCTTTTTAGCCTTCAAAAGTTGGAAAAAATTTTGGCTCTCATGTTTTTGGATAAAATTTCTATTTTATCTTTTTTTGATATATTTTTTTTTAAAAGTACATAAAAAAACGAATAATTAAAAAAAAAAATAATAAAAAATGTTGTGAAAGAAAAAAATAAAGATTTCGATAGCTTTTTAGCCTTCAAAAGTTGGAAAAAATTTTGGCTCTCATGTTTTTGGATAAAATTTCTTCTATTTATCTTTTTGATATATTTTTTTTTAAAAGTACATAAAAAAACGAATAATTAAAAAAAAAAAAGTTGAATATTAAAATTGTGATAATCAACTTTTTTTTTTAATTCTTCATTTTTTTATGTATTTTTCAAAAAAAAAATATATCAATAAAATCAAATAGAAATTTTGTTCAAAAAAATGAAAATATTTACCAAAAATAAATAGTAAAATGTTAAACTATAAATTCTATTTTCTGTGATTGTAAAATAACTCTAAGTTACACTTATGTAGAAACTAACTAGGCTATACGAGAGTACACGTAATTTGTAAGGTTTAAAATAACATGACCTCTTTGGATGGAGTTAAGAATTCTTTAGGGGCTTAATTTTTCCAATTAATCTCAATATAAATTTCGATTTAATTATAGAGATAGTGATTTAAAGTAATGGCTTTTTAGTTAATAAATAAAATAAAACCAAGTCGCTAAATTTAAACCATTAGAATTAATTGGGCAAATGCGTATAATTCAAAGAAATACTCGATAATAAATAGGATCTACATGTTAAATGTCTGGATGTGAATATTTAGTAGACTGTCAATTTGCGTTGTATTTTTAAGCTCGATAAAGTCCGAGGATAAAATAATAAATTTTATCTAAACATTAAACTCATGTTTTATTGACATCTGCTCTTTTAACGTGATATCATTCCCATTAAATAAATAATATTCAAATGGTTCTTTAAAAAAATAGTTGAAACAATATTATGTAGACTTTAAGCAGTATTGAAATGTAAATATTATGAATAAAATAAAATCATTATTACACCAGAAAGAAGAGAATGTGTATTTTTTTCTTTTTTGGTACAAAACTTGACCCAATTCTTAGAACTTTAAAAAGAGACTCGTACAAACGTAAACGATTTGAATTTAAAACTAGCTTTGTAAGTTTTTTTGTTTCTTTAAAATTTTTTATCTTATTTGGGCTTCAGAGGCATTCAAATATTAGCTAGTTTATCCGACCTACTTGGTGTGGAAAAAACGTAAGGTAAAAAATATTTTACAAAGGAAATAACGCTATTTTATATTTCTTGGTAGTTTTTAAAAGAGATTTATATTTACGAGTGGAGTATAGTAGAAGTAGAAGGTACGAGAGCAGAGATAGAGGACAGAGAAAAGAAGATGTGTGACTCACCTTTTGGGCTTTACACGCTGCGGCGAGTGGTAGTACATCATGAGGATGAGCGGTATGACGATCCCGTAGGCATAGGGAACAAGCTGCAATCTTACAGAGAGCACAATAGAGGCTGACAGACTCGGCATTGTGATCGGCGCAAATTGGTGCCCCATCAGAACTCAAGTTGCGTGTGCCACCTTTATTACCAACACTGCTCTGCCAGCTGGCACGTGGTGGGCCTAAATTGTGGGCTGCTAGTGGTCCCCTTTTTGGGTGACACGACTCCCTGCATCCATCACAATAAAGTACCTAAAAACATTTCAGATACACAAATTTATTTAGTAACATGATTTATATTTTTGGTCATATTCTGTTACAATTTCTTGATAAATTACTTTTTTAAATTGTCGAGTTTTGGGTTTGTAAATATTAACTAAATAAAAAGGGGCTGGGTATTTGTTACTTGTTTTCGAATCATGGAAAAATCAATACATCACCCTCGGTAGAAAAAAAATTTTAGTGTTTAATGAGTGTGTGTTTTAAGTATTTTTAGTCATGATTTTTTGTTTTCCGTTTTTATTTAAAGGTAAATGACCTTTATATTATTGAATTTTTTTTAATTTACCAAAAATTTTTAAAAATATACACAGTAAAAAATTTTTCGTCATTGTGTAAAGTGTAAAAATGTTTGTGTAGAATTTAACATTTTAGTATGTTGATTCAACACAAATTTTTGTGATAAATTTGACGAAAAATTTTTTACTGTGTACAAGGAAAAAAGTAAACTGTAAAATTCACTCGGATTCCAGTTAATTTTTATAGTTTCAAACAATACACCGGACATCGGGGTGGCAAAAATATAAATATTACAGAACTAAATGTAGAAAGTGTAAAAACTACAATTTATAATTTAATATCGAAAATAAGTGATTAGTAGCTGTCACTATAATAAATAACGACTCTGTCATCTTAAAAAATTACAGTTTCAAGCAGTAAACATTGCCGTTTCAATATATAGCCCACACGGAAAAAAAAATATCGCTCTCAGAGCTATATTGTAATGCTACAGTAACTATCCCCACTCGACTAACTATTAGAGAGTTACTAGAGCCATCTAGTAGATCGCTCTGGCAGGTATACAGTAGATGGCTAAAATAGCTAAACCGTTGAGCTGGGAGAGCAATACGGGATTGCTGTGAGGGGTAAACGCCTCGTTGAAGTCTCAGATTCTGCGCGCAGTCTTGTTTGTTGACATATTTTATAACCTTTAAAATTAATATAATTATTTACTAGCAATCTGTAGTTAATATGCGACTGTCAAGAGTTATGGATTATAATTAAAAAAAAACTTTGGCTTATTAATTTTTTGTTTTTTCCAATAGAGATATTAATAGTTTAGGTACTTTTTAAATAAATTTGAAAATAATTAGTGCAATGAAAAAATCAAATCCGAATAATTTAATGAAAAATGTGGTGGAGAAAATTTATAGAACCAACAAATTATTTAAAACCCCTTCCGAAATTCGAAAAAAAACAGTCGAAATATTTAAAACACAGGAATGTGTGTAGAAACATTTAATTTGTATAATTATTTTTTTTAAAATGGTACATGAAAAATAAATAAATAATATCAAAAATGTGATACTAAAGTTAATTGACAACTGTCAATTTTTTTTTAAATTTTATAACAAATCAATGACAGTAAAAAATGCTTCTAAAAATTTTCACTAAGAATTTTTTTTAATTCTCACATGTGGAATTTTTTCATTAAATTTTTTACGTAATAATTTTATTGCTAAAAATTTCTAATGTCTTTCAACTTCAATGTCATTCAAAAACTTAATAATTTAATATGTAATCTATTTTTTAATTCTTAATTACTTATTTTTTTTTATTTATCCATACAATTTTTAAATAAAAATTAACAAAAGATTAGAAGAATGAAATGTTTTGATTTTATAATCATGAGGTTTGAGGTTGGTTGTTCATATTTTATGACAAATAAATAAGTATTTACTTATCAATAAATTGATTTTTGTAATCAGTAAAATTCCATTCTTGTAAAATTTTTCCTACCCACGAATCCATATTTAATTAAAACAAATATTTAAGTCATTTTTTTTAAATTGATCATTGGCACAAAAAAACACGAGTGTCACTTTTATGTGGTCCGGATAAATATGTTTTATCCGGTAAGAGGGCGTTGTAAGAGAAATGTAGTTGGCGATTCTAGCTATCTAACAGATCGCTCCAGTAGCCATACCGTATTGCTGCTGTAGGAATGCACAATGCTACAGTAACTTTCTACGAGTAGGTATCTAATAGATGGCTCCAGTAACAATATTTTTTTTTCCGTGCATACTACACTGAGAAAAAAAAAAACTTTTACTCAATTAACAATCAAATACTCTATTATTATTAATTATTTATTTGTAAAGAGAAGAACATCAATATTTATCTTTGGATAATAGATAAACAAAAGAATAGCTTTATTTAAATTAAGTAAAAATTATTTCAATCAATTTAAAAATTTCTTGAGCTAAGAATATATATTCTTGAAAATTTTCAAGAACATAAATTCTTGTATCAAGAAAATTTTCTTAATGAAAGTATTTTTTTCTCTCAGTGTATGAGGAGAAGCGGAACTTAGATGAGGCGAAGGGGGTCTCAATCTAGGAGAATTTAACATTTGAAACATTAAAAATTCTACTCTTAAAATATATATTTTACCAGTTCAAGCAAGTCAATAATTATAGTTTCATTTTTAGCGTTACGCTTAAAATTTACCATTTTACTTTGTAAATATTGACGTTGCTTGTATTAGAAATTTAGTAACTGTATTTTATACTTTTTACATATCATACACGGAAAGAACAACAACTCACTGGGTGGTATTCATAGTAAAAAAAATTTCAAACTATAGTCAATGTCCTTTAAAGTATACTCGGTTAAATAGGAAACTTCACGGAGTACAGTTAAAAACTTATTCAGTATACTTTAAAAGATATTGACTATAGTTTGAATTTTTTTTCACTATAAATACCACGGAGTATACTTTATGAGTATGTACAGTGAGTTACTGTTCTTCCCGTGTACGATCATTTTTTAGGTACGGAATGATAAACATCAAAGTCAAAATTCTTAATTATTATACTTTGACATTTTCGACATTCACATAGCGAATATATTACTGTTTAAAATAGTATTTTCTTCCATGTAAAGTATAAATTTTAGCATTTAAATGATAAATATAAAGTGATTAGTAGAATCACGATTTTACTGTTTAAAATAGTAATTTTTAGCAGTTGATCATTGCTTATTATAAATCGACTATTATTTATTACAGTTTACTTTTTTCCGTATAGTCATGATTTTGTTTTTCCGTTTTTATTTAAAGGTAAATGACCTTTACATTATTGAATTTTTTTTAATTTGTACCAAAAATTATAAAAAAATATCATTCAATTTTATATAAACCCAAATGATTCATCTTTTTAATTAAATTACATTCAAATTATTAAATAACAATTTTCACTCTAATTTTCGTCAATTTACCGTACGCTTTATAAATTTTGTGCATCAAAATTAATTTAATATTAAATTTCATGAAAAATGAATTCAATTTAAAAAATGTTTCCCGTAATTCACTCTACCTCGTAATTATGAAAGCCATTTTATTAATTTTAGATAAAAAATTAATTTACTCTCTCAATAAAAATAAAATAAAAATTTATTCAAAAGCTTCAATCTGAATGAACACGAGAATATTTGTATACTTGACAAAAAAAAGTAACAAAGTTAGATTTTACCAGAGGAATTTACCCAGACAAAAGCTTTGATTGAACTCAAACTGAAATAAATTAATATTTTCCTTGTGTACACTCATTACTCAATACCTTTGTACATACTCAATCGGAGCGTAGATAGAGCCCGAGTAATATCAGCGGCACAAAGACAAAGTTTGAATCGCTCTAAAATGAGCAGAAACGTTAACGAGTTGTAAAATTAACATAGACAAAAAAAAGGCAAACAAACATTAAATGTATAAAATGTGAATGTAAACAGTAAATTGACCGGTCGTTAACGTCCTTTTCTATCGCTTGAAAAGTTTCTCCTAACTAAAGGATCAGAGATCAGAGCCCTTGACTATCCAACGAGCCAACTAGCCGACTAACCATCCAGACAGCCAATCCTTTAGCGTGGGGCAATTAAATAGAAAGCTAATTAAATTAAGCAATGGATATCAGAGATGCCGTACGAGTAGACTTTGAGTACCAAGAGCTCTTGGTTTTGTTCGGTCCTCAACGCCGGACTAATTTAATAAGATGATTAGGCAAATGCGCAAATCATCGTTGAATTTTAACTAAAGTTAACGTTAAACGCCGAGGATTTTACTTTTGAGTTTTATTTTACAGATCCTACACAGGAAAAAAGGTTCACTTGAGCCAAAAAAATATTTTTCTTTCTAATCATTTTCTTGACCGAAAAAAAAAATTTTTTTTGACACAAGAAATTTCACTTATTTTAACAAAATTAATTCTTTTGCTTTAAGAAATACGTATCTTGATCCAAGAAAATTTATTTAAGTCAATAAAATATTGTTGTTTTGAGAAAGTTCAGCCTCTTGCTCCAAAAAATTTAGTTCTTGATAGAAGTAAATTTTCTTGTCTTGAGAAAATTTCTCTCTTGCTCCAAAAAATTAAATATAAAGATAGAAGTAAATTTTCATTAATATTTTTATTGATTAACATGTCAAATGGCAAGATCAAATAATATTTCATCATTTTTTTTCATTTAATATGTATAATTGCACGCTAAAATAATATAAAATGGGTATCAAATGTTCAAGAGAAAAATTTTCTCGATGTGAGAAAATTTTTATCTCAGCTGAAGTAGGTGGCGCTGCTTCCCTAAAGTATCTAAAAATCTTGATCAAATATAAAAATTTATTGTATTAAATATTTATGATAATTTGAATTAAGAAAAAATGACTTCTATCAAAAATAGAATTTCAAGAAAAATTTTTACTTTGGCCCACACAACTTCGGTTTTTCTTCAGGCATTCGAAAATTTTCTTGAGTCGAGAATTTTGTTCTCCAATCAAGAAATTTTCCTTTCTGTGTGCCAAAAAAGTATATAAATATTCTCTCTGGAGACTCGAGCTCATCATTATTCGAGACACGCGAGTGACTTCCCCACATATATCTTTATCTGTGTATAAATGTATAGAGCAAAGGTGTATGTTCTGTACAGAAAAGGAAAGGTGGATGAAAAAATTAAGAATCGATCGAACCTCGCACTGCTCGCAGGCGACTGTAGCCTCTCTGGGTTCGCCCTCACACATCTGACACAGTAGCCTGACATTTCTTGCCTCCTGATACTTTTCGACAATTCTCTGCATTGCACGATATTTTGGCAAATTATGGGCACCGCCCTCGTCAAAATACACACTTTTGTGGCAAACAGGACAGGAGAGACAAAGTGTGCCTCCAGAAGGCGGAAAACACCCTCCATTTCCCGGAGTACCGACGTAACTTCCGGGTCTAGATGATGTTGACGTGCTGCTGCAAACAACTCCAGAATCTGTTTCTGAAAGTATGGACAATTTGTCGGCCTCCTGGTCAGAGCCGGGCGCATTTGAGCAGTCGGTTGTTGATTCTGGAGGCGAATCTGGCGGAGCTTGAAGATTTACTGCACATGATAAACACAGTGCATGCCAACAAGGCAAAAGAACGGGATCGCCAAATAGTTCCTTGCAGGTAGGACATCGCAATTCGTCTTCCATTCTGATTGTATCACTCTATATAGAGCCGAGGACTCTCTGGACCGATTTCTCGATATTAATACCAACTTTTTTTTTTCTAATTCTATTTTTTGAGTCGTGGGAAGAGTCCGATGTTCCGCTATTACGTTCGCGATACAACTTATGCCTGTACTATGGTTATGGCCTTCGGTCAGACCGGTTCGATCCTCGCTGCTCCGAACGTGAAAGGTATTAAGTACACGACCGGTAAGCATCCAGTGAGAAACACTCCATTATATTTTTAAAAAATTTTTTCACTTTTTTTTAAATAAATTCACTTATTGTCAAACTAATAATAATAATAATAATAATAATAATAATAATAATAATAATAATAATCCGTGGATAAAATCGGTATGTCAATCAAAAATTGATTGTTTACATTTTTGAGTTTGGAGTAAAATTTCCACCACTTGTTAATAATAATTAATAAATACGACACTTCACTTTATTATCCTAATTAATCTATAAAAAATAAAAACAACACACGTTACACTTTACTAACGATTTAATTCACGATAGAACGAAACTGCAGCTGCATATGACCGTCGAGATCGGCGTTCCGCAGCGATACTAGCGTTAAGGCCGGCACTGAGTTTACTGACTCCCAGTGCAGAGTCAAAGAACTGCCGCGCAACGCGACCACGCAACACATCTTGCTCATGGATGCTTCAACTTTATATTAATTCTGGGCAAGTGGGAGAAATATATGGGGCGTGCGTTAAATATTTTTAATTTTTGACAAATTTTGGGGATTAAGAAAAATTTATTTCACCCTTAAATTTGAAAAAAAAAATTGGAGTAAAAAATTTTTCAAATGAAATTGTTGCGAGAATTGAAATTGATCTATTTTTTATCAATATATCGATGATGGATCGAGATCCAAGGTACAATTTTGATCGCTAACGTTCCTGTCCATCGACTGTCTCTCTCGGCAGGATGGAAAGATGGAAGAGAGGGAGAGACGATGAGGAAGAAGAAACAAAAGGAAATATTTTATGAAGAGGCATGGTACATGTGTATATAAGAGATACGGGAAATAAAATAAGAAGTTTATAAAGAGGACAAGAAAAAGAAAGAAAGAGAGAGAGCTGGAAGTGTAGAGAGAGAATATTAATATAAAATATAAAAAAGTGAAGAGAGTTGATGAAGAAAGGAGCGATTGTGATGGATGAAGAGTTGCACAGGGTCAGGAATATTGGAGGTATATATGGGGAGAAAAGTAAAACTGGTATATATTTTACGAATAAATATGTTTTTGCACTACATAGTTCGACGGTATATTATATTATTATACAAGAACATATCCAGGTGCATTGGGAGTGTGTGCTGTAATACACGCATCAGTTCCGATGATCCTTGTTTGAAAAAAGAACATAATATGTTATACCCGCATATAATGCCCATGGAGCATTCACGTTCAATTGAACCGGCGGTTTGTAGATCTAAGATCTATAGCAGCTGATATATATCGTGTTATTGATACCGTAAAATTATTCTTGTTTTTTCTTTGTTGTTTATGTTTATAAAGTAAAAATATTTTTTTTTTAATTTGTGAGAATTATTTTGATTTAATTTACGAGAAAATATTATCTATATTATTAAGAGAATAAGCAAAATTTTGTGGCCAGTGTATTTATATCATAAAATAATAGATAGATTTTTAAGAAATTACCTTGTATCTCGTGAACTATTGACAATTTTAAAGATATAAGCTCATCCCGATGTTACACTCATCAGACCTTTGATTTAAGTACCCACATCAATTTCTCATATATTTATATACATTATATATATGTATATATGAAAAATATATCAAAAATACATGTGGGTACTCAAATGAAAGCTCTTGATGAGTGTAACATCGGGATGAACTTATATCCTTAAAATATATATTATATATATGTACATGGGAGATTCTCTGTAACGATGTTTTTTGCTGTCCCAGGCATTTTTATATTAGAAAAATTGTTATTTTGTTACTAAAAAAAATTTATTACGAAAGTAAAAAAACATTTCTATTCGGAGCATTGAAAACTAAAATGAAATAAATTTTGGTTTTTTTGTTATAAATTCCTAAACTACCGAAATAACAGTCCCCTGGGCTGTCCCGTTCCCAAAATTAAAATTTTAATATTAAATTTTAAGTTATTCGTCCATAATATATAATTTGGTCCATAATGTTTACAAATTTAATTAGTTAACTAACAATCTTCTTCAATAAAAAGTACCGAAAATTAATTTGTTTCATTAAATTCATTAAACCAAAGTTTATCCCAGGCATTTTAAGATCAGCCCCCTGCCAGAAGTTCAAAGCCAAAAAAAAAAATCCAGCGTGTTATTTTACCTTTTGTAAGGTTTATAAGGACCTAACTAGCCTTGAGTTAATAACCATAGGGCTGTTAGCGCTTTATCGGCATTTTATTTAGTGTCAAAGCACCGTTTGTGCTGGAAATATCTGTCTGG